TCCACCTCTGCCCCCATCTTTCTCCCTCATGGTATGGGAGGTGGCCTGAGATGATCTCTAAGGTTCCTGCCAGCCCTGAGCCGCTGCGCCTCAATCCTGCCCCCGCTTCTGGGCCTCATTCTCCTTGTCATTGGCTCCCACACATACCTCAGGCGCTTGGCATAGCTGCCAATCATCTGGGCCGACCCTCCCTGCTCACAGACTCCTACCTGTAAGCCTTTGCTGACCCTCTCCTGCCTGCTGCCAGCCTGCGGGTGGGTCCTCTCGGGAGCTCAGTGACACAGGCAGCTCTGGGAAGAGCCAGGTCTCAGGTGCTCGGTGTCCCTGTCTGCTGCGGGAGGTGGGCTCTTCTGAGATTCCTGGCTGGTCACCTGGGAAACCTGTTGAAGCTGAGGTCAGAGGAATTGGCCTGAGGCTAAGAGGGGTCCCCTGCACTGGTGAGTGTGTGTGTGTTTGTGTGTGTGTGTAAGAGAGAGAGACTGAGAGATCACGTGTGCCCACCTGAGCCAGTGCCCCGGTCCCTGCTCAGCGTGGGGGTGGATGGACGGGGGCTGGTGGCGTGGCAGTGACTTAGGGCGGAGGGTGGATCCTAGGAGCTGACCCCTTCAGCTGTCCTGAGGAGGGGACCAAAGGTTTCTTCAATGGGACCAGGGCAAGAGTCACATCCCAGCTGCACCTCCTCCCTTCCAGAGGACCTCAGACAAGTGCCTTGATCTCCCTAAGCTGTGAAGTGGGCACACGCCCACCTGCTTTTGGGGGTGGAGTAGGGTTCTGTAAAGTGGCTGCAGCCTGGCCTGGCAAATAGCAGGTGTTTAATGAATAGCTCATGTTTTTCTTTCCCTCCGAAGGGCCAAAGATGAGAACTGGGAGTGATGGAGGCAACATGGGGGGGGGGGCTGAGTTTGGGAGATGCTCAGGATCTATGTCGAGGGAAGGGGGGCTTGGGCCCCCAGAAGGAGGGAGGCAGGATGGGGCCGTAGGTGTGTGGCTCTCCTGGTGTAGCCTTGGCTGTGTCAGTTCACCTCCCCAAGCGGTGACATGCTGCTGACGAGTCTGTCTGATGGTGGCTCTAGCACGTACAGTTGCTCCTGGGGTGGAGCAGATGCTTGTACACGTTACTTGCTCCTAAGGCGCGTTCCTCCTGCCCCAAGAGGAGGGAGGCGGAGTTGAGGAGAGGACATGGAGCTGTGGACCCTGACATGAAGCAGCTCTGAAGGCCCCTTGTGCACAGCCCTGCATCAGCCTGCCCCCAGCCAGGCCTGGGCATGGCCCATAGCCTTTGGGAGACCCAGGGAAGTGGGTTTGCTTTTTTTCAATCTCCATTTCCTCATCTGTGAAATGGGCACAATCAGACGTGCCTCATAAATTTGGGTGTTAGATTGGTCCTTCCTTCCCTTCCTCCCTCCTCCCTTCCTTTCATCTGTTATCATCTCTCCCTCTCTTATCTATCTGTCTGTCTGTCTATTTCTCCATCCATCCATCCATCCATCACCATCATTCATCCATCATCTAATATCCACACCTATCTATCCATCCATCCATGCACCATCCATCCACCCATCCATCCACCCACCCATCCATCCATCTAACCATCCATGATCTGTCTTCTCCAATCCCCCCCTTTCCCCAACACACACACACACATACACACTGGGTCACAGATTTCCCACCTTTTAAATGGGTGGTTAATGCTCATCAGTGATTTCCAAGTTTGTACCCAGGGACGCTGTGTTTTGAAAGGTTGGTTCTGCTAAGCATGCTGAGCGAATCCAGTACTACACAGTGCATTTCCTCATTTTTAAATGTCAGTCAGAGCTCCCCTGTGGGTGGCTGGTGTGTGGATCTGAGCCTCCCCAAGGCCAGATAAAAGAAATGGAAGCTTCCATGGCCCCGCGTTTCCCAGCGGCTGCCCTCAGTGTTCTGGGGTCCTCCGGCGACCCGTGGCCTGTGTGGCTCCTTTGCTGAACTGAGGCCCGGCTCCCGGGGCTTTGCCTCTGCCTGGCCTCTGCTCTGGTGAGCAGGGCAGCGGAGGGAGTGACCTTTTGTCCTGCTCTGCAAGGGGCTTTCTGTTCCTCATTGTTTAGCCGTGACAGTGCTGTGGTTTGGGTTTTTTTTTTTCCCAAAGGATAAACAGGCCTCAAGATTGCTTAAGGGAGGGCTGACCCTTCCTGCCCGCTGCCAGTAGCTCAGGGCTGGAGTCACAGAGCAGCAGGAGGTGTGGGGCAGGGGTTCGCGACAAGATTCAGCCAGGAAAAGACCCTGGAGGGGAGACCATGGGGAGGCTGCCGGGCAGTGACTTGGGGTCACAGGGGTCCAGCCAGCTGCCTTTGTCTTGGAACCCTTGGCCCGTGGGTGGAGAGAGAGCCCAGACTTGGCCAAGGCAAGGCCCTTTCCCGTCAGGTCCTTTGGGCCCTGACAGGAAATCCTCCCCGAGGCAGGGCGGGCTGCCCTGGGCTGCTCCACGGGGGCTGCCCCCCAGAGGGGAGCGAATTCCTCTCCTGCTGGGAGCTGCCCCGCCCGTGGTGGCCGAAGGGACTAGTGGGGAGGAGGGTCCCTGAGACCTGTGCCGGCCCCTGGGGGGCAGGGGCTCCAGGGAGGGAAGCGCGGACCCTTCCGGCCCTCAGGGCGCTCTCTGAGTGTCTAAGGCAAGAGGCTGCTGCCCAGAGGGCCGGAGGCACAGGAAGCACAGGGAAGGCCCACTGCGGGGACTGTGAATGGTGGGGACAGTCAGGGCCTCGGCTGCAGTTACTGGTGATGTGACAGCTGAACGGTGGTGCCAGGGGGTGCTGCAGAAAGCCTGATTTCTCCGGTTTTGGGGCTCCCCTAGCCTTCGCTCGATCGCTGGGTCTCCTCCGTGTGCCCCACCCGGGTCATCTTGCTCTGGCCATGGTGCCAGTCGGGCAGGTTTGCTCAGCAGCGGGCCATCAGAATCACCTGGGCAGGCTTTCTTCTTTTCCTTAACAGCACAGCTTCCTGGACCCACGCTCAGAGCCTCTGCTCCTTTGCTGGAGAGGGAGTCGGCATTATGACACATCCCCAGGTGCTTTGGAACCCCCTCTCCAACTGTGAGGAGCCCTAAAAAAGGGCTTTGCTCCAGGACCAAACAGCAAGGGAAGAAGGACCAGGGCTAAGTGTGTGAGTGTGTGTGTGTGTGTGTGTGTGTATGTGTTTGTGTGCGCACGCGGGAAGAAAGAACAGGACTGAATGTGTGTGTGCATGCTTGTGCGTGTGTGCGTGTGCATGTGTGTGCACCAGCTTACAGTTCAGGTGGGAATGAAAGTTACTTTTTCAGGCTCTGTGTGATGCAGAATGGTTCCTCACTTCCCTCCTTTGCTGGCCACCTGTATCTCTCCCAACCTTCCTAGAGTTGACTTCCTGGGGTTTGGGACCAGGCCTGGGGTGGGTGGGAGTGGGGGAGAGGCTTTAGGGGCCGATCAGCAAGGAGGGTGCACCTGTATTGGGGCTTCGTGGCCCTGGTGCCGGGGTTGGACCCCTGAAAGAAATGACATTCTTTTGAAGTCCCCTGCTGAGATTGGCCACCCCTGAGCACCTCCTACGTACCAGGCTCTGGGGTGTCAGTAAGAAGTCCTCCCGAGCCTGCAGCCTCAGAGGGCGCCCATCTCATGGGGGGCACAGCCCTGTGGGCCAGGAGTCCTGAGGGAGGAAGGTGGGGGTTCTGGGTCCGAGGGAGTGTATTCAGGGTGGGGTGTGGGCCGGGAGGCCTCCGGGGGAAGCTGCTGTCAGAGGAAGCAGAGGGCTCTTCCAGGCGGAGGAGGCAGCTTGGCCAAGGGTGTGGGGCTAAGAAGAGCCACAGGTGGCTCCACAGCCCCTTGGGGTCGTCCCCCTGATGCTTCCAGCTGTTGAACCCAAGTCGTGTGCTGCCAGGGTGGATCTGCCAGGCTGAGTCGGGGAGGTGGCTGGGTTTCTGGGCTCACTTGTCCTTGATGCAGGGACCAGCCAAGGGCCCGGCTGCTCCGGCTCCGGCAGTCACGACTCCCGGGTGATGCTGTGGAAGGGGAGGGGGAAGGCACAGGGAGAGCTGCCTCCCTCCAGTTCATGCGCCCAGGCCCCCACGGGTAGGGAGGGGGGCTCTGGGGCGTGAACTGTGCCACAGTGTTGGTCCTGCCTGAGGGCTGGGAGCCATTATGGGGCAACACTCAAGACAGCCGGGAGATGGGTGCCCTGCTGGTATAGGGGGTCTGAGTAGGGGGCAACGACATCCACTGACTAGGGCACCTGGGACACATCAAACGGCACCTGGCACCCATTAGTGCTCAAGAGATAGAACTCTTGTCATCAGCAAATATTCGTCTGCTGAGCCCACACTTTGCTGTGGGCCCTGTGTTGGAGGCTGAGGGTCCAGAGATGATGAGGCTTTCATTCCTGCCCTTTGCATTGCAGATGTGGGTGCGTGCCTGTGCGCGTGCATGGATATATACGTGTTTGTGCACGTACACCCGCACGGGGTGGGAGGACAAGAAGGTACCTGATTCCAGCACAATAAGATGACTGTTAGAAAGGGCATTTCCGGTGTTTAGAGAGAGAGCCCAGGGGAGGAGGAACCTGCGGCAGCCTGGGGGAGTCTGGGAAGGCTTCCCAGAGAAGGCAGCACTCAGCTGGAAGGACGAGGAGGCGATTACCAGGTGCAGGGAGGAAGGGGGGACAACCTGGTCACGGGCTGCTCTGTGCTGAGCTCTGTGGTTCTCTGTGACTGAAGCCACCGCCCTCTGGGAGGCTTCAAGACCCCACCTGCCCTGTGTAGCTGTAGGGGCTGGCCCCACCCTCCAGCCAGCTGGCTCCGCATCTCCACCTGCAGACATACGTGTGCTACACTGAGGAAGGAGGAGGAGGAGGTGAAAGAAGGCTGGGACTATCCCTTCTTCTACCTCTACCTGCTCTCCCACCGAAGGAAGAAGTCCCCTTGACGGTGGAATCCCATCAGGGAGAAGGTCAAGGACACAGGATGGGGGTCTGGGCATCAGGTGTATTGGAACCGTGCGTGGCCCTGCTGATGGCTGTCCTTTCCTTCCCCCGTCCAGGTTGTGTTTCTCCCCTACGTGCCGGAGCCTGGAAGCTTGTGCCGGCTGCAAGAATACTACGACACAAGGGTCCAGATGTGCTGCAGCAAGTGTCCACCTGGTGAGGGGCAGGCGCTGGGGCTCTCACCCTGAGACTAGCTGGGTGCCCGGGGGCTGGTGCCTTGAAGGGAGTGGCTGTGTACAGGGGTTACGGGGTTAGGGTCACGGCCTTTGATGCTTCCTTTCCACCCCATGCTCCCTCTTTCTTCTGGGCCTTTGCACATGCTGTTCCCTCTCCCTGGTGCCCTTCCCAGCTCTCTTCCCCTGGTTCACTCCTGCCTATCCTTTAGACCTCTGCTTAGATGTCCCCCTCCTCCAGGAGGCCTGCCTGCACTGCCTGGCCAGATTTGCCTCCTCCTCTGAGTGCCCATTAGCCCTTGGCATTCCCCATGGCAGCAGTTCTTTTCTCACTGTGTGATCATAGTCTGCCTCTCTTTTGTCACCCCCACTATGTGCTCCTCAGAGCAGGGTCTGTGGTTTGTTTCCACTGAATCCCCAGTACCTGGACAATGCCTGGCATGTAGTGGGTGCTCAGTGCATGTTTGACTGAATCAATGACTACATTACCCATTTCACAGATGGTGGACCTGAGGCCTAACCCCAGTTGGGAAAGCCAGGTGGCCCACGTCCTGGTGCTGTCCATCCATTCATTCATTTATATGATCATTCCTATAATATTATAAAGCATCTGCTGGGAGTCAAGCACTGTTCTGCATGCTGAGAATACAGCAGAGAGCAAGGCAGATTAAATTCTCACCCTCATGGACTTTGCATTCTAATAGAGGCACAGACAAACAGGCCAATAGAGGAAATAGACATGTGGTCCTATCAGAGAGCAAGTTCTGTGAAGGAAACAAGGTAGAGGAAGGCAGGTGGAGACAGACAAAGGAAGACGTGCTGTGTTATATGGAGTGGTCCTGGAAGGCCTTTCTGAGGAGCTGACAGGTGGGTAGAGACATGCAGGAGGTGAGAGAGTGAGTCATGCAAATATACCAGGAACAGCATGTGCAAAGGCCCTGTGGTGTTAGCCTGTTTGGTGAACTTGGAGGACAGTGAGGCCACTGTGTGGCCCAGAGTGGATAAGTAAGCAGGGAACACAGTAAGGGATTTAGATTTTATTCTGCAGGATCCAGAAAACCGTTGGAGAGCTTTGAGGCATTAGCCTGAGATGTGGATAGGCACATACGTACCTAACACCTCCCGTGGCCATTTAAAGAGGCCCCAGAAGGAGTGACTCTTCTTTCTTCTCTTAACTGGCAAGGTCTTGGTAAGAAGTTACTAGATTGGCCCAGCAGTGAAGATGGCAGGATGAAAATGGGGGCAGATGCTCAGAAGAGAAACTTCTTAAAGATTTGCCTTCGTGTTCTACCAGCCACTGGCATGCCTTCTTTGCAGGCCTTCGGGAGTCCTGTGTCTTCATTCTTGATAAGATACCAGGGATGGCTACTCGTGCCCACCCCCACTTTTTTTTTTTAACCTTTCCCAGCTGGAGAATTTTAGCCTACTATAAAGAAGACAGGAGCTGACAAACCAGTTCTCACTAAAGTGTTATTGACTAATAGGACAGGTCC